TAAAAGAAACATAACAATATTGTTTTATGTACTTTCACTTTTCACGTATAGTATAACTACTCTTTAAGATTAAGTACTGTGTATCTCAAAAACCAGAGCTAATAAAAATTTTTCATTGTTATTTTCGTTTTTATCACCCCAAAATTAGTAGAAATTGACTAATTTAGTGTAGGAAACATTCAAAAAATATTTTTTTGTTGTGTTGTGATCTGCGAGCGCTTTCGACAGCTGGTCGTGCTGTCATCCTCTAGCCCCTAGGTACTCTATCTGAACGTTAGAGCCTCATGCCACAGCCACCGTAATCACCAGATTTGTACCCCTGCGACTATCCTGTTCCCAAGGACAACGTTTTGCGGCGATTAAGGAGATATAAACCGAATTGCTGAGAGAGGTCAAGGACGTATCAAATAGTACATATCAGAACTGATTCAAGGAATGGAAAAATTGCTGGTACAGGTGTAATATATCTGAAGGAGCCTACTTTGAAGGGAACAAAATAGAAATTTATTCAAAAATGAATATTTTTTAAGAAAAATGAGAATTCACCTCATTTTTAAAACAGACCCCGTATATGAACTTGTGATCCAACACTTTACAGCACTGTTCCAACTCACCAAGGCCTCATCAGTGGTGCTAGATCAAACAACGCAATTGTCCAAAAAATAAGTTTGAAAGTAAAGGTGATGTCTTGTCTTTTTTACGACAGTTAAATATTTCAGCCTAGCACCACTTATGGGACCTTAGCGGGTCGAAACAGCACTATTTGGTGTTGATCACAAGTTCATCTGGTTGCCTCGCAGCAAAGCTGCAGGCCTTGGTTTTGCAACTGACCTTCTTGGGAAGCCTCGTTTATCTTTGATATTTGAGGATTGAGTCCCATAGATGACATCTTCATAGGGAGAGATATCATCACCTTTTCTCACAGTCATATCATTGGAAAAGTAATATAAAGTACATATATGAATGTGATATATTGAAATTGATGGGAATTTCAGTAACCCAAAAAATATTTGAAAAAGAGGTCTCACGATTTGCTGTCTGCCTAAGGTATTATCAGTCTTGTATGCCATGTTCAGTAATATTATATTCTGCTTATCTTTTCTGATACCTTTCGTGTATATGTCAATGTTTTGAAAGTGTAAGTATAATCTTTAATGTATATTTGTTCAACGGTTCATTCGAGTAGTTGATTCATCACATCCTCGACAAAGATTGTCAAACAAACCATTCAATAAGTATACCCGCAAATTACTGACCCGTGACTCGTGGCTTATATCGGAAGAACATCTAAAAATTTCAAAACCAGAATCTCCGAACACGAGAAGTTTTGAATTGAAGAAAACAAATTCAACTTAAGCATGCCATCTGTTGGAAAACAACCACAACTTCGACATAATTTACGAGGGTGGTTTCAGAAGTACTCGGTCTGACGTAGAGATGGCTGTAGTTTGCAAAATATCACTATTAGAAAGTACACAATCCATAAAGCATATGCTTCAAGTTTGAAGACGCTGNGAGTTATGTTGAGAAATAAATACATTTTTTCCCATAATTTTTGTGTTCTCTTTGTTGGGCTGGGTACTTCCGGAACTACCATCGTATTACCGCGATTTTGCACATGCACTGGAATTATCCTGCAAAATTGAAATATTCAACTTTTCCCCTCCCCGAATTGGGTTTTTTTAGGTTGAATTTTACAGCACTGACAATAAGTCTCTGTACTCAGATTCATTCTGGAATTTAGTAGTAGTGCCTCCTCTTTTCATTACTGCAAAAGGGCATTATAACCACTTAATGAAAATCGAACACTTCTATAACGGTCATACCCATATAGTTCCACCCAGCCAATTTTGCTTGCAGGTCATCAAACGATAATGGTACAGATACCTCGGTAATAGCACATGGCTTCTTAACATTCGTTTATTGGCACACCAACCCAACGGAAGTGACGCAACGAGAAAAGTTCAGCCAGGCATATAAATCGATGAACCTTCATGGCATTTTGTTGGATTCTTCGAAGACTCGCTGAAAATATTCAAGACGGTGGAGGTGAATGCCTTCTTGCCAACTTAGCTGACTGAGAATATGTTTCTGTAATCGATAATTGTAATTGAAACAACGATAATCCACCCTCAAGTGCATAGAATCCCTCATGGCTAATATTCACGTACATACAGTTCAGTATCGAATGGTTCTAGGACTGGGAATGGATTGAGAATAATCAAAACCATTTTTTATTAATTGAACGGTTCTATTGAGCTTGCCCTGTTTATTTGTTTATTTATACCCTTGAGTCAAAGTTATTATTTGATCCTCTTGACAGATTGATTTGATATACAGGGTGTTAATTAAGTATGTACCATACATTTAACAGACGATTTTTAGGTAATTTTAAGACGAAATGTTTATATAAACATGGGTCCGCAAATCCTTCGTTCTCAAGATACAGGGTGTTAAAATAAAAAAAAAGTTATTCGTAAAGATCTTAAATATCCTTTACCTAATTTTGTTCTAATTTGTCAATGGTATTTATAACATTAAGGAGCTAATCTAGCCCGAACATGATTCAATTTCTTAAGTCCAGTGGCGTCACGAGCGGGATTGGAACGAATATTTTTGACTTAAAAATGTACGCCACTGACTTTTGTGAAATTTTTATTATTTCTTTAGATTATGCAATTACAAATACAACTTTTTTGTCTCTTGAATTTTTTTCGTATCTTGCTTAGTTTTTAAGAAAAAAAAAGTCGACCTAATTGCATATCCCTGGACTTCACAAGGAATAATATGGGGAATTAAATGTTTATTTTAGAATTTATCATTTTTACAATTTTTCATTACTAATTATGTAACAATAACAACAAATATTAAATAACATTAACATCAAGATCTTCAGATGATGTGGTGCTGCAGGTTTTTCCGGGTTTTCCTGCAGCTGAAAAAGCAAATGCGCCACTGGAATCAATGAAGTCGCCCCGGAGCGCCAATTAATTTTTATTGTTGTATTTATTTTATTTTTATCGTTGTTTCAACACATTGTAATAATTTTATAAATGTTTCATACCTAGTTATTTGTAGAAAATTCATCTGATAAACTTGGAATGTTACTCAGTACCGATCAAATTAAAGTGGCCTTTTCAAATGAAAATACAGTTGGAGAGCATTTTTTCTCGAAACAAAATCACTACATGACATACAATGCAATATAGTGTACAAATTGAACTGTGAAAGCTGTCACAAATACTATGTTGGCCAAACCGGACGGTATCTTAAAATACGACTTTCACAACACATGATAGATTCTAAGAAACTAAATATAAAAACGCCATAGCCAACTATTTTAAGTGTTTAGCCATATTCATTTAAAATACATTTAAGCGAAATTATATATATCCTCAAATGCGATAGTGTTAGCACCGGAAGAGATGTTGATGGTCTTGATATTGCATATTTCAATTTGATAAGCAAAATACCTGAATAATTTATACGTCTACTGGTTTTTAAAATAGTAATATTACCTAATATGAAGCAACTACTTTTTGGTGAGTAATTTAATTAAGAACTTATTATTTCTTGTAAAATCGAAACGATAATAATCGTATAAGATTTGTGAGAGGTATGTTTATAAAAATTCATTGTTACAGAGCCCTGAAGAATTTAATTAAATTCGAAACGTCGGCAATGAAAACAATTTTTTTTTAAGAAAAAATTGATCCTGTTACCCAACCGACCTTTCTTGTTAACTAAACAAATAATATTTATGATTTCAGGTACACCAGATGATGATAAACCCCGACTCCACATACCCATTATACACCGCTTATCCTGAATACAACCTCACTGACCTCAATGACAAATCACGCACCGTAACCCTCACGTCAAAAGAAGGAAAACGAGTCGAGCTCAATGTCTCTTTTGCTGTTGTCCTGGTCGGCTCAAGACCGGATCTATCATTCCTACCTCAGAACTTCAAGCTAGCCATCAGGAAGAACCTTCCTCTGGACTGCAAAACGAACCCTGTCGACATAAACAGGTTGTCTCATAGCGTTATCGGTTACGATAATTTATTTGTGATTGGCCCTCTTGCCGGGGATAATTTTGTAAGGTTTCTACCAGGGGGGGCTTTAGCTGTTGTTTCGGAGCTGTATAGGAGGAATAATTATAGCTGACCGCAATGATTGTATTAACTTTATTCACACCAAAAGATATTCGTGCACTGAGTTGACATCACACTTGACAGAAACTGGATTAAGGCCCTCACTCTTGTGCTGAAATATTTGAAATGAATACGGGTGTTTCACAAGGATGGAAAGATAGATTTCATATTAATATAATAATGTTTATTTCTTTTTTAGAAATTTGCAGTTTATTATACAAAATAGTGTGCAAAACGACACTTGAAGTGTGTGAAAGGATAAAGTACAATAACAAATATTTTTATGCCTTTATACTTATCGGATCGTAGAGTTTTTCTTCAAGGATACAACTACCGTTCAAAATTGATATTTCTTTGATTCAGGACTACAGGAAAATATTGTTTCTTTTCAATATGTTTGAAATGTGGTGTGCAGGTTAACCTGCAAATTGCAGGTTATTTAAAAAAAGGGGAAATGAAACAATACAAATTGAAGAAAGTAAAATTCAAATTCAGACAGTTTGACTAAGATTCGTCACATGATATTTCGTTTCACCAACATTTTTGGGAATTTAAATTCTTTATCTGTGGACAATGGATATTTGAATAATCAGGATCCAAAAACTTCGAATTCAAACAAATTCTTTTTTTCTTCAGAAACGAAAAAGTTACATTTTTATTCTTTTAATGCACACATTTTTAGTGTATAATCGAAATTTTGACTTTAATGTTTCATTTTTATAAATCGAAATTTCAACTAAAATTTTGACTTTACATCGATTGAATCGATTTCAATATTTTGATTTATTCATAAAATTTTGACTACAAATTCGAAATTTCGTGTTGCAATGTTGAAATACTCACTTTTCAGGTAGGAATTATCAGGAAACAAAAATTAAAATAGTGTGGCCTGTCTGCCCTTCCGTATTTATTTATTTTTTATACATAATGTATTCATTGTGTGAAACCTATTATAAGGGTTTTTCGCCGTAGTCTGCAGGTTTTTTATACCTGACGTTTCGTCTACTACTGCGGCAGACATTATCAAAGGCGATGAGAAAACGGTCGAAGTGTTCGAGTTGTCCCCAACGCAGAGAAAACAACCCGATCACTTCGACCGTTACTTCATCACTTTCGATAATGCATACCGCAGTTGTGGACGAAACGTCAGGTATAAAAACCTGCAGATCACGGACAAAAACCCCGAAAAATAGCTTGACACAGTTATCTCCGGCCGCGAAAGTTAACATTCCTTGAATTTTGGCTGAAAACCATTATTCAGGTTTTTTTGGCTGTGGTTTTTATTCCTGACGTTTCGTCTACTACTGCGGCAGGCATTATAAAAGGCGATGTGCTTAACGGTCTTTGAATATATTCATTATTATCATTTAGACATGATTCTAATGATCCATTTCCATATTTATTCTAATGATGATATATACTCGTAGGGTGCTTCCTAAGCACATTAGGAAAATTTAAAAAAAAGTTTTTCTCTTTGAAAGGAAAATTGTTTCGTAGAATCAATTTCCTTAATTCCAGTGAGTTATATGAAGAAGTTCAACAAGTTTTTTCGTGAAGTGAAAGGCTAATAATTGTTTCAAAAAAATATTTCAAGATATTTCAAAAATTTTCAATAATATAGTTCAATAAGTTTTTTCTATAAAATTGGAACCATTCTCAATTGATTGTAAGTTATATTTGAAAAGTCACTCTTTTTGAGATTTTTCAAACTCGGCAACGTGTATGTATGGACCCCTTCATGAAGTGGATTGTTTTATAATTATTAATCAATGCTGCCTACACTTATTTATTAACTCTCATAGCATATGATACTTCAGTTGAAGATGAATTAGAAATATTCAATGTATTAATTATTTATCCTGTATACATTATTTATTCTGTTTTTTAAATCAAGTCATGAAGGAAAAAGCTATAAAGGGGCAAGTAACATCGTAATAGCGGTAAAATGTACTTATTAAATTCAAACTTTGCAAATACATAAACTTTTATTTCTAATTCTGAAAATTTGCGAACAAAAAAAACTTATTTTGTAAGAAAATATTTGCAATTCTTCAACTGATTTATTTTTTTCTACTTGTTTCAGCAAGGAATCATGAATGATCATTTGATATTATAACTTAATGATAACTTCCTTGTTAATAAATGGACATGAAAACTTTCTTGAATTCGTTATAAGATGACAATAAATACAATTTGGAAAAAGAAAGGTATATCACTGGACGATGTTTCAGTTTCGACAGGCGGCGTAAGGCAAAAACAACCTAGATTTGTGGAAATGGTTATAGATTGGGGTTTGGTTGACTGCTCTGCTCTGATTTACTAGTTATACTATAATTCCAGAGTAGTAGGCACAAAATTCTCAGAAATGACTGGCATGTTTGCCTTAATCTGTCTCTTGCAGTCGTGCACGGAAATAATCTTAACTGATAAGGAAAAATTACTTACTTACAGTATTGTATTATTCATTATTTTCTGAAGAAAACCCGTCGGATGGTGAGCAACTATCGCGATCGCTATTTTTCAGGGTAATAATCAATGTTTCAATTGCAATGTCCATTCTTGTGTCAACATTCCACTTTTTGTCTTCTTCTTCTTTTATCTTATGTCTAATGCTTTTTTTCCATGACTCGGGTGTGAAATTTTTCTTCGCAGTAGCTAGTAGGCATTTTAAACATCAAGTTTTCCCTCGCCATTTGGATTTTTATTTGAGCCTATATTAGCTCCATCAGGTTTAGCTCACAATGGCAAGGAGGGGGGCGGTGTTCAATTATGTTCTTTCACGAGCCATTTTGTCGACAACATATCTCTTAAAATGAGGTATTTGTTTCTTCGCAATATTGAGTAATTGGATTTTTAACATACTATCATTGAATGGTGAAGTTTTTTTGAGACAGCCAGTCAATGATATCAGATTTTCGCCAGGTAGTTGTTGGTGACTGCACCAATTGTTTGATGTGGTAGGAACCATTGTTCATGACAACAACAGAGTTTGGTAAATCTTTAAAAGCTAACTTTCGAACTTTTGTGCGTCCATTTCCTCGTGGTAGTTATCAGTTTTCTTGGACTTGAAGAGTAATAAGCCGTTTTACAAAAAACTAAATCATTCCCTATGTGAGTTATTATGATCCTCCGTGCTTTGCCAGCTGGCGCTCTTGCTTATGTTGAAGGCCTTCAATTAAAGCTTGTCGACAACCTATTATTTTTAAAATCTTGCCATACCTTCGAGATAGTATGGTCTTGATTCAACCAAGTCACATCTAAATAATTAATCTTTCTACTTCCAAGACGCTCTTGGATTTTTTCAAGTAATTTCTCCGCCGCAAAACAATTTCTCCTTCTGTTAGAGCATTTTTTCTACCCCTTTTCCTAAATTTATTGTTATAATTATCTTTAATGTGCGCAATGAAACACGTCGTGATATTTTGGGCATAGATTCATCGGAACTTATTTTGGCTGCGACTTTTTTTAAGGTTGGGATTTCATTTCGGAAATAGATCAAATGGAAGTGGAGAAAAATCAGTTTTTTATCGACCTTCCACAATCTGAAAAATTTAAAAATTATAATGGAGAACTTTATTATACTTGTATAAAGTAGCAGGTAACAAATAACCAGAAAAGGTCGATGAAAAATATAATATAATTATTTCTCCTACAGATAAATTTGGACGTCTGCGTTTGCTTTGACTGCTTTTAATTTATATATTTCCCACAATTAACAACACAAAATTAAACTGATTTATAATGATATTTCCCTTGTTTCAGTCCTTGAACAAAACCGTTGGTTTTTACCTGATATCAGTTTTTTATTTATTTACTGTTAATCCTTTTCCTAGAAATGTAGGTACCTAATATTGTGACGTCAACTACACTAAAACTTCTTAGGAATGAATTAAATCTATAATGTGTTCATCTATTATGTTCATCTAGGGTAGCTATACACAAAAATATCCTTATTTATTATATATTGAAAAGAGTATTTCCAATATTGGAGTTTTAAATTCGTCCTACAGGTTTCACTGCAAGGCAATCAGTTATTAACTTGAGCTCAAACACAACGCATTTATTATTCAACACCAGACAGCGCCGTTTCGACCCGCCATAGGTCTCATCAGTGGTGTTTGGGCTCTGGCTTTCAGCTAGATGCCTTGCATTGAAAGCTGCAGTGAAATACAAAAAACGAATCTCGTTGGCGGTCGATGTCGAAGCTTGGCTTTGCAACTGACCGCCTTGGGGAGCCTCGTTTATCTATGATATTCGAAGAACAAGTTCTATAGATGGCGTTTTCGTAAGGGGAGATGTCATATCCCTTAGGCTTGTCCTTTAAGGACAGTTGAGTCCAGCAATCATGAGTGTGTTGTGTTTGGGCTCTAGTTTACCATTACACTTCAGATTCACCAAATTGAAATGTCGCCTTCTGAAATATTACTCATTATAATTCTTTCAGTAATTCTGACTCATATTGCTTGTCAAGACTAAGACATCATTGCAGTTGTGAAATACACTCGATAAAATAAGGTAACATCTAAATTCAAGGTTAAAAACATTTTTGATCATGTGATGAAGTCCATTAGCACCCTCTTTCTTCCATCTAAGTATGCCAATTTCTCTGTCAGTATAATTCCTTTTTTTACATTTTCAATATTGCTGAAACAAAACTTGTTGAAGATCATATACTCTTTGACTATATGCTGAAATACATATTGAATTCAGTACAAAATTATTGGAAAGGCGAAAAAACTGTTTAAAACATAGTGTGGGTACCTTATAGTGATAGTTCAGCTGTGTGCAACTCTGAGGTTAATGTACATTCAGTGTTGGTAAATTTTGTTTACAGCCATTTATTAGATTGTTAGAAAACTTTTAATTGTTGATCTTTAGGAGATTTTACTTTTCGACTTTGTTATATGTAAAAAATATATTTTTTATTAAGAAAGTGAGTGAGCACATTTATAAGTTATTTTAATAAATGGATGTCTTGCAAATTTGTTGTTTTTTTAACTCGTTTCATTCATTTCCTTTTTCTATTTTTTTGATATCAATACCCAAAGCAGTGAAATCAAATATCAATTTGTTTGACGTCATATTGGATGAACTTGTGATCGAAAACCAGGCAGCACTGTTTCGAATCGCCATTGGTTCCATCAGTGATGCTGGGCAGGAACACTGAATTGTGCAGAAAAATACAAGCAAGATGACGACGTCATCTTCTATGTCACCCCTACGAACGACAACCCTCAGAAGTCGAAACTTGTGCGAGCTAAGGATTAACGAGGTCTTACCTTTTAACGTGTGATTCCTAACACGGGGGAAACATTGTCAATCAACATCAAAAAAACGTTACTTGTAGATAATGTACCGTAAGATTGTTTATTTTAAATAGTTCTAAATAAAAGTCCGCGATAGTATAATATCTACCTCTTATGTGGTGCCAGTATATTTCCAACACTGAGCCATAAATACAATTAAATTGGATGCTTTTTTTATAATGCATATTTTAGAATATCTGTCAAATTATTATAAACATTGATACAATTTTCGTTCTAAGTATTTAATACAGATAAACTTTGTCTTTTACACTAAGTAACTATACAAATCGTTTAAATGTTATCACGATACGATTAATTTAACGCAACGCAGTAAGCCATTACGCGTCGCGTCTACTGTACGACGACGTGGGAAGATGAGCGGGGGTAGAGGGGCGGTCTAAGCAATGAAGCGTCATCGCCGAGAACGTGGGCAGACGCGTTAGGGAAAACGTCATTGACGGTTGTGTTAGTTTTGCGAATTTATTTATAGGTAACACAATTCGGTTCTCGAAGCTATTCGTAACTAAGTGCAGTTTACATTTTTTCAGTTACTGTATTTATAAAGTAAAAATATTATTTTGTTTAAAATGGTCTGTCACGAAATTTAATGTGAGAAACCAAATTCTACGCGGGCAACAACTAGTAAATTAATAATTTACTTATTTTGCAGGAAATGGCCCGAGCGGAATCGCCTTATCGTTCCTGTTGTCCGGAAATATACCGTACGTTATTTCAAATTCTCACCCGGACGAAATGCTAGCTGCGAGGCTGACTCCAGCTCTCGGCCAATGTTTGCTTCAGCAGGACTTGGAGACGTTATCTTCAGGCCTCGAAGGGAGGACGACGAATCAGATTTCTCTGCTGATGGACGCCCTGCTACACCCAGGCGCCGATATCGGGTTGGAGATGGAACCGCTGGTGGAGTTCAGGAAAACCGGTAATAAGGTACGTTTGACTGTGCTTTTTTGTTAGTTTTTTATGTTTAGAAAATAACGGGAATTTTTTTATTTCACGGGTTTGAAGAGTTCTTTTTTTTTGATATGTTGGTTTACATGTCCCCTAAGCGCTTTAAGCGCTAAGTGCTATAAGCGTTTCCAAGATGGCCGTGAAGACGTTGAGGATGACGTACATGACGGACGGCCCAGCAAATCAACATCCTATTAAAACGTGGAAAAAGTGAAAGAAATGGTTATAAACGGTCGCCGAATCACAATGAAAAAAGTCGTGGAAGATATTGGCTCATATCGAATGTAAGTCAACGTGGAGGTTATGTTCACTGTATTCTTAGATTTTGATTGCAAAGTGCATCATGAATTCTTGCCAGGAGGTCAAGCGGTCCATAAGGAGTACTTCCTACAAACGTTCGCGTGAAGCAATCCGAAAACAATGCCCGGGTCTGTGGAAAAACAATTCATGGCTTTTGCACTACGATAATGCATCAGTTTACACTGCATGCCCCAGCCTCCATTTTCGCCAGACATGGCTCCGCATGATATTTTCCGATTTTCAAAAATGAGGGGTTGTTGTTTTACAGGCTGTTGTTTTACAGGCATAGATGATATTGAAAGTGCATTGCTGGAAGAGCTAAAGGCTATCCCAAAGATTGAGTTTGAGAAGTGTTTCGAAGATTGGATGAAGAGCTGGCACAAGTGCATGATATCTAATGGGGACTGCTTCAAAGGTGACAATTTTAATGTAGACGAATAGATAAATATTTTCCCAAAAAACTAAAATCTCTGTTATTTTCTGAACATACCTCGTATAAAACATCTGAGGTTATTTCAAACGTATTCGGTCGTAACCCTAGCACACTTACCTCTACGTCAATCTAGGAGAAAGAAGAATATAGAGCTGTCCTCTCTATATAATTTTTCTAACTTTCTAGACAACTGTAATATCCATCTCTGTCACATACAGGATATACGAGGGCGGTCCCATAAGTACTTAGGATACAAAATAAAAACGATTTTTTTCAAAGTGGCGATTTACTCCTCAACGTAGTTTCCTTTTAGCTCGATACACTGGACTCAGCGATGCTCCAACTTCTTGGGCAGAAGTTCGTAGTTCAATTTGGCCGTGGCGACAGCGAAGAAAGTGCTCTTCCAGAATGTAGAAAGTTAGAAGCACACAAAACATCAAGAAGGATTTTGATTAAGTTCACATTGGGAAGATTAATTCAACTCAAAAACGCGGTATATCTGATGTTTTGAATTAAAAAAATTTGAACTCCCAAAAGTACCCAGCCTTACCTAAAGATGGCAGTAGTTCGAAAAATATCAATTTATTAGAAAGTACACAATCTGTAAAGCATATGTAAGTGCGCGAACTAGCTGACTTAGTAGGCACTTCAAAAAGTGCGTTACATCTTGTATTATCTGAAAATTTGGACATGAGAAAGCTGTGTGCAAGATGTGTGCCGCGTTTGCTCACACTCAAGCAGAAACAGTGTCGTGATTTGAGTGTTTAGCGAAGTTTTACAGCAACAGAGCAGAATTCTTGCGTCGTTTCATAACCATGGATGAAACATGGGTCCATTACTTTACACCCGAGACAAATATTAGAAAGTACACAATCTGTAAAGCATATGTTTCAAGTCTGAAGACACTGCATTATTTATTATTTGTTTGGCAGTCATCAATAGCGAACGTTTTCGGTAAATTTGTGAAAATGGAGAAAATTGGTCATCGTTATGAAGTACAATACTTTTATTTGAAAGGCATCAGCCCAACCAATGTTGAAGCTGAACTGAATTCTACTCTAGGTAAGTCCGCTACGTTTACAACATTAAAATATTAGGTAGCAGAATTTAAACTAGGGCGTACGAGCTGCCAAGACAAGTATCGCAGTGGTCGACCAAATGAGGTGACGACTCCATAAACTGTGGAGAGAATCCACAAAGCGGTACTGAATGATCGTCGACTGAAAGTGCGCGAGCTAGCTGACTTAGTAGGCACTTCAAAAAGTGCGTTACATCGTGTATTATCTGAAAATTTGGACATGAGAAAGCTGTGTGCCGCGTTTGCTCACACTCAAGCAGAACCAGTGTCGTGATTTGAATGTTTAGCGAAGTTTTACAGCAACAGAGCAGAATTCTTGCGTCGTTTCATAACCATGGATGAAACATGGGTCCATTACTTTACACCCGAGACAAAAGAACAATCAAAGCATTGGTCTCAACAAAGAGAACTGGCCCCAAAGAAGGCGAAGACCGTTTCACCTGCAGGCAAGGTTATGGCATTGGTTTTTTTTGGATACGCGTGGGTTAATTTTCATTGACTATCTTAAAGAAGGTAAAACTATCATCGGCGAGTATTATGCGATTTTATTGCAACGTTTGAGTGTAGAAATCAAACAAAAACGGCCGCATTTGGCCAAGATTTTTGGCCAGATTTAGCCCCGTCGGATTATTTTCTGTTCCCAAACTTGTAATTAAAAAACGGTATCGAACGTATTGAACATCGCTGGAAAAATTGTATAGAGCTGCAAGAAGGTTATGTTGAAGAATAAATACATTTTTTGACAATGTATGTGTTTTCTTTGTTGGGCCGGGAACTTATGGGACCACCCCCGTATTTTAGTTCATTTAATTTTATTTTTGAGCACAATCTTCATTTTACTTTATTACAGCATCAATAATACGTATTCAATGAACGTAGACTTTGAGACTAATAAAGTGGTTAAGTTCAGGAAAACACTGTGTTTCAATATTGTAATACAATATTCAAATCACCTACAAACGTGATTGAAATGAGCGTACTGATAATTCTCTAGAATATGTGCCGATGATTATGAAGGTCAATAACTTGGTGAAATTTGTTTATTATTGCTTCACCACTAATATTTAAAAATCACTTCAGAGTTTAAATGTTTTATCAAACTAGGTACAAGAATGTACCCACCATTTATTCATCTCTTGTGAAATAATTGTGATATTCGGAAGCTATTTTATGCTTTTCTTTTCTCGACCACTTGTTATTGAAACGAAATTTCTTTATTATCTACTATGACTTGCGATTTTACTTATATTAATAAGTTATATGAATTGTCCTATTGCTCAAGCTTTGTCAACAAGTTGCCCTTAAGACAATAAAGCATATTTATTATTATTATTATTATTTATTTGCGGTAGACTAAGGTGTTGAAGACACCATCCTGGCAAGCCATGATGAACCCCTCAGTTTCCGACTTCAGCCCACTCGACCTGAGAAAAGTGAACGTCAGGCGCTTTGATAACCCCATGCATTGGCTTTATTATTATTATTATCATTGCTCTTAGATTTTCATTTATATTTCATATTATTCCACAGATCGACCATGTAGTATTAGGCAAAGGACCTCCCGGCGGTTCTTGGCACAGAATGGACCCTCAAATCCTCACCCTTTCCTTAGCCAGTTGGATGTCACTGCCAGGATTACCATTCCACTCTACAGATTCGAGAGAAAAAAGGGCTTACGCCTGCGACGTTGCCAACTACTACGTGCAGTACACGGAGAAGATGGATTTGAACAAGCATTTCAGGAACAACGTTCAAGTCACTTCTGCGGAGCCCGTGGACTGCGAAAACAAATGTCACAACTTACATTCAGAGAAAGCTAGGACGAGGAAGAACAACTGGGTGAAGAAGATCAACAAGGAGATAAAAGAGAGCGTAGAGGCTTGTATCGAACCAGAATCCGTTGAGAATCGAGAGGAGTACAGGAGCTGCTTCATATCGAACGCAATCAACTGTCTGATGATGAGGGGCAGACGAAAGTCTCGATGTAAACGCTCGAAGGAGCAAATGGTGGATGATAACCCCATGCGGGTTATCAATCTAAATCGGGGTCAAGAAAAGAAGCGTTCAATTAGTTTTTGCTGTGATTCTAGTAATGTATGTGATAGGTACGATGGTAAATCGTTCAACGATAGCATTAATATTTACTCGCTAAGAAATTCCTGTAGCCTAGACTACAATTCTGTGCCTTTATCCTATAATTTCCCCTGTTGTGATTCTAATTCGAACTGGATCGTGAACGCCTTAGACGGCAACACTGGCGAGAAGATTACTTATAGTTGTAAATACCTAGTTTTAGCGACTGGCGGGAACGATCTGCCCAACAGACTGGACATTTCCAAGAGTAAAAAAGACCCCAGCTGGCTGTTGTACGATTCGAGTAGTCTGGAACATAACTTGAATTCTTATGTGACTGAGAGAAAAGGGGGGGAAGTGGACCCCATTTTGATAGTAGGAGCCGGATTGAGTGCGGCAGATGCCGTTATTGCAGCAAGGGCAAAGAATGTTCCCGTTATCCATGTTTTCAGGAATAAATCGCCGGACCTCAATAAACAACTTCCGGAGAATTTGTATCCTGAATATCATAAGGTAAATATAATATCTTTGTCTGAGTACTAGAGAACTTCCACAAACTAATTCATTTCCCAGTCTCGCCACAAATTATATTTCATCCAGTACTATGTTTACTATAGCATTTTTCGTGGATTTATAGTATTACTCTTCAATCGTATGCTAGACCTGTATTTAACGTCCTCTTCCTTGGTGATAACTACAAAAATGTCACAACCCCTTCATCTACTGATTTCTTTAATTGCAATGAATTCATTGTATAGTTATCGGAAAACAGGTCTTGTTAACCAAAATAATTTGGTTATAATGAGTTTATTTGGTACCAAGGCGCTGAAGGGCCACATGTGTGTGTTATGGGCAAATAATTAACAGTTAAAACTGTTGATTAGCTATAAACGGCAGCTCAAACTGTTGATTATAGGCAAATAATTAACATTTGAAACTGTTCATTAACTGTAACCGACAGTTCAAACCGTCGATGAGCTATAATTAACAGCTTGAACTAAGGATAAGCTATAATCAACGTTTTAAACTATCGATGAGCTATAATCAATAGTTTAAAGTATCGATTAGCCATGATCAACAGTTTAAACTATCGATTAGCTACACTCAACAGTTTTTTACATTTTTGGTGGGTTTATATAATTACTTTTCAATCGTATGCTAGACCTGTATATAACGTCCTCTTCCTTGGTGATAGCTACAAAAATGTCACATAAGCCCTTCATCTACTGATTTCTTCAATTGCAATGAATTGATTGTATAGTTATTGGAAAACAGGTCTTGTTAACCAAAATAATTCGGTAATAATGAGTTTATTTGGTACCAAGGCGCTGAAGGGCCACGTATGTGTTATGGGCAAATATTTAAGTTACAACTGTTGATTAGCTATAACCGGCAGCTCAAACTGTTGATTATGGGCAAATAATTAACAGTTGAAACTGTTCATTAACTATAACCGGCAGTTCAAACCGTCGATGAGCTATAATTAACAGTTTGAACTAAGGATAAGCTATAATCAACATTTTAAACTATCGATGAGCTATAATCAATAGTTTAAAGTATCGATTAGCCATGATCAACAGTTTAAACTATCGATTAGCTACACTCAACAGTTTTAACTATCGATGAGCTATAATCAACAGATTAAACTATCAATGAGCTATAACCAACAGTTTGAACTGTCGATTATAGATAGTTTGGACTGTTGAATAAAAATACCCTGTCGCCTTTCAGCTCATTCATAATTGGGTACAATTTACAAATAACATTATTTCGGGAAGTAACGAAAACTTGGGGGAAAATTGAGTAAAGATAAAGTAACCCATTTACCACCTACAAAATAGGTAATAATACAAAAACAGACCAGTTTATTCCGATGTTATTTAAGCCTATTGAAGTGAGGTGACATCTGATTTTTAGTAGTATGTATGTTAGAGAAAAGGCTAAATGGACAAAAAGTATAGCATTCCTTAGTTCTGAAAATATGATTGGGAATAATGTAATTAGTGATTTGTTATTGTTTAGAATTATTTCAAATGGCATTTTTACCTCAAAAGGGTTATATAAAAATACTGGAAGCAGATGAACTAAATTTTGAACCATA